ATGGGAAAGCAAAAGACTCTGGCTCTAACTGATCTGGAAAGGTTACAGCACAAACCCAATGCACAGCAGCTTCCACCCTAAAAAGGCCATCACGTAGTTCAGTAACTCCATGGCTTCTTCAAAACCTGGGAATAAATGGTTTCAAACACATTTACAAGACGATGACCCAGAAGAAAAAGAACTAGCTCCTAAGAGCCCATCTGCCATGGACAACTAGAAGATAAGGGCTTTGAAAGACCTTCAGCAGAGAGACACGCTCACGCTTTCCTGCGGTGAGCAGGGAGGCGCCCTTGGAGTTTCTTCTAGCGTCACGTTTAGGAATTGCTTAGGAGTTCACCATGTGATCAAAAAGCCTTAATTCCGTGATCAAGGATCACTCTGATTCCAATCCCCGTGTGTGCAGAGGTGCACAGAGGAAAGGGGGTGCAGGACGCAGCAGCCAGATCTCTTCCGAGCTGCGTCATACGCAGACGGGCCCGGCGGGACCCGGCTCAGCGGCGTCGGAAACGCCAGCAGCTGCGAGCGGGGCTGGGCAGGATGAGAACACACACGCCTGGGCTGTTTCACACTAGTCCACTAGTCCAGCATATACTCCTTTAGCAATGGGTTTCCTCTCCTTTTCCTTTTCTGGTAAAGGAAAATACAAGTAAAAGTCACTCCAATTCTCAGGTATTTTCCCTGAGAAACATTTTGTTCCAAATATTTTGTCCACATGTTCTGAGAAAGGTACCTAAAAAGGGACAAAAGTGCCCCAGCAGGAGGCTGGAACTGATGAAGAAAAGGAGGTGTTCTTTTTAATTCCTGTTACAGATAACTTGCAAAAACCTATGTAAAAATAAAGATCTCTGTGTTGGCTGGAATGCTTTGCTGTCTGGAAGGATGAGATGGGGGCAGTGGGAATCTATTAAAACACTTGAGAGCTTTGTCCCATCCCCAAAGAGCTTGGTGGGTTGCTCATCCCTCCAAACGCATTTTGCAAAACCCACGTCACGGCCTCGTACAGCGGTGGCTTGAGGTTGCTTAAGGACTAAAGACGGGGCTCAAACTCCCCTGACAGAGCACCACAGGCTCTTCCTCACGGCTTTTACTGCGTTTTGAGGGCCCAACCAGACCGATGCCAGGCCACAGTGAGGGCCGAGGCCCCTCAGCAATCGCTGATTATCTCCTGACTCTTGGGTCAGGACCCCGTGAAGCGTTGCCTGGGCAGGTACCTCGGGAGAAGAGCCCAGGGCTGAGAGGTTTAGGGCAAGGGCTGAGGAACAGATGTTGTGCTCAGGACAGGAACCTCCTTCTGGAAGTGGCCCATGATGGATGAGCTGCCTGGAGAGCAGCCTTTCCCCTCCAGACATTTGCCAAGATAAAACTGAGAAAGAAACTGTTCCTTGTGTAAAACAGAAGGGGGAGAAGTAGCTGCAAAACAGGTAGGAGGAAACCAGTGTCAACTGCTGAAGGGAACCGAAGTCCAGCTGAGGAGCAGGCTGGCCCTGCTGAGCTCCACACCGCTCCTGCAGCAACCCAGAGCAAAGCGGGAGACGGTCTGGGCCGTCTGTCACAGCTGGGGACAGAAAGATAAACCACAGCTACGACAGCCTGAAGAGATACAGCAGCCAAGGCTTTAATTACCGCCTGTTTGGGTGACTGCACACGCAGATTCACAAGCCACACTTGGAGCCACCTGGGTACTCAAATGCTCGGAAGTTTTCATGCAGGATGAATTTCTCTGCAGCTGTCTGCCACGGGCAGCACTGCGCTGGGCTCCAGACCCCGAACAAGGGACCTTACCCACCTACAGCAGGTGACAGAGGCCAAAACTTCCCACCCATGTTCTATGACCACTCTTTACTCCAGAAGCCACCACCAGGAGAAAACCAGGCATGCTTGTCACACACCATTCTCAGCAAATGAGCCACCGCCAAAGCACAATGCAAATGGCCTACCCAAAACTGAACGTGGCGAGTTTGGAGGTTTCATTCTAGAACAGACAAAAGAGGACATTGCTTCAAGCAGCAAGAAGCTGAAGTCCTCTGAGTTGATTCCACAGGCAGGCAAGGGGGAACCCTCTCGACTCAGGGCGGGAAGCACGTGGTACAAGAACAACTCCCTTGTCCGTGAGCTTACCTGAGTTATTTCTGTCGTCTACGTATCTTGGGTCATCGGCTGCATCAGGGGACTGGAAGAGAACAGAAGACGTGAGCATCCAGCTCCGTAACACCAGTGCCAGGTCACTGCCCGCCTCCAGCCTTCACCCCACTACAGAGAATGTTTCCCCGCCAAAGCCCTGGTACTACAGCGGCGGGGGCACACTCCTCAGGAAACTCATGTGGTTCCAGCATCGGCCCTTTGTGGTAAAGCCCAGCAGCCCGAGCTGGGGCCAACGCGAGTGCCGGCCCACCAGAGCTCTCTCCTCTCCCTTCACATGCAAAGGGAGAAGATGGGAAGTGGCACGAAAGGCAGAAAGCACCAAGACAAATGGGCAGAAACACAGGGCCAGAGCAAAGCCGTAAGCTACGTTTCCTTGAGAGCACTGGATCCTAATTCCGCATCTGCACTGGCCTCAGCTGCTTTTGGACAACCTGCCGCCTTCCTTCTACTCAGGTGTGCAGAGAAGTGGTGTGGGAGATGAAGCAGTTCCATCCCAACAGCTGGCAGGGACAGCTTTGGAGAAAGGGCCAAGTGATAATCACGAAACTCCACCAGCTCCTGGTAATTCTAAAGCCTTCACAAAACGAAGACTGTTCCAACCACCAGAACTGGGTGCACCTCACTGGGCTGGAGTGACAACACCATGAGAAAGCAATTTTGCTCACGATCATGAACTTGAGGTGACTTGAACACCAGCACTACTCTGAGGACAGGCCCCAAGCCTGGCTTATTTTGCTGAAACAGAGAATCTAATCCAGTTGTACTGAGTGCTTCAAGGATAGAAAGGTCAAAGTATTCTGCTGAGAAATCCTGTTTACTTCAAAAGCGGCTGCATTCGTTACCTCTACGATACTTCCTACGTTCACACATGATACTTACACCAAGCTCAACCCTTCTCTGAGCTACACAATTGGGCTTTCAGAAGAGCTCAGTATTCAACGAGTTTAATAATGCCAAACTTGTCTGAAAGTCCTGGCCACCACTGATCAAAATCTCCCCTTCAGGGGTCTTCTTGCTCAGCTCAAGAGCACAAGTGAAGAGCAGCTTGCTTTTTCTTTAACTGCAGAAGAAAGGATGGTGGCTCTCTACACCTGCACGGAAAGCACCAGGGAAGTTTCAGGGCTGGGGAGCGCAAGAAGCCCCCGCTCCCACAGACACGAGCCTGCTCTGTGCCAGCAGCAGAGCTGGGGGAAGCAGGAAAGAGGGGCAGATGATCTCAGCCCATCTAGCGCTTCAGAAATAAAGCAAACGTCTGGTAGATGTTCTTCACGACCAGCAGAAAGCAGAGCAGAGCGGGCTGTGATGGCTCTGGCACAGGAGTGCAAATCACACCACACCGATCCCAAGTGAGCAACACGGCTGTGTGGCTACAGCCGGGAAGAAATACAGCCTCTGAATTCCTGCACTGCCCAGAGAGGTCCCGAGGAACTGCGTGACGACTTGGAGGTGCAGCCTCCTTTGGAGGCACCTTCTCGGCTGCAGGAAGCGCTGGTGCTGCACTGGGGTCTCAGCAGAGCTTTGGGGAACCCCGGGCAGCCCAGAGCTGCTTCTGGGTCGTGCGTGGCCCGTCCTCCAAGTGCTGGCCCAGGGCCCGGGCAGGCACATGTCCTGGCAGGAAGGGATGCTTAGAGAAAAAGACAAGTAGCTGCCAGGGGCTGAGCGATGCCACCCGTGCAAGGAGTCACCCAAAAATATGCATCGAGTATGGCAGAACTGCCCGAGAATCCCCAAACTGCAATTCTGCGCAGGCCAGCCTGGCTTTGGGGCTGACACCTTGGACCCAAGGTCTCAGTGTCACGACAGTAAGTTAAAGCCCAGCATGTCTGTACTTGCTGGCTCTCCGCACACAACACAAATGTATCTGTGGGTATTTGCTTCATTGTCGTTACATAAAACTAAAAAACCCTCACAAATAAAAAAAATTACAGACATACGGTATCTGCTCGATGTCACCAGTTAACGACTAACCCAGACAGAAAGAGAAAGGCAGTCGACAATCCCCCCCGGCCTGAGCTGGGCGGTCAGACAAGGTGACCTCCAGCCTCACCCGTCTGTGGTTCTACGGCAGAGCAGCTCAGATGACACTTTTAGGAAGGAGAACGAGGTTCTTTAGAAAGGAGAACCACCTGGCCATGGCGCTCACCCTCGAAACTGGGGCTCTCCTACCACGTGGTCAGTTCATCTACAGCAGCTAAAACACTTGAGAATTGTCACCACAGTTGCTTCTTGGGCAGGACGCTGGATATGTTCCAGTTTGAACTTACCTTCTGCTCCAACTTGCTATTTGTTGGCAATAACTTCTGTCAGTTTTGTTTCTCCCCTTTTAGTTCTCATCTTTCACTTACAAATAATTCAGGATTGATTAGGGTGAAGATGCAGCTGCTTTGTATTTGCAAAGCTTTAATTTTAAAACCACACGGACCAACTTTTTCACAATTCCACTTGACTGAAGTCTCCCACAACCCCTGAGTTACGCGGCACGGCTGGTTGGCACTGCCCACCCCCACGGACAGGGCCTCACAGAGGACTTGCTCAGATCACCAACCCTCAGTCTGAAGGTCACCACTCCTCATGCGGGCACTTCCACCAAACCAAGCCCTGACCAGTCTGAGAGATGGCTCATGCAGTTTATACCTGGATTTCGTAAACAGGTTTGGAGGAAGGAATAGCAGCAAATTCCCGGTAGTCAAACTTCTTTTCAGACATGGACTAGAAGGGACAGCAAAAGAGAAGAAACAGAGAAGAGAGAGTAAGGGGAGAGATGTGGATGGAGAACGAGCAGCAAGCTGAGCAATCTACGCAGAGACAAAGCAGAGGCAGAGTGTCGCTCTCGGTTAGTGCCAAGGGCGCCTGGAAACAGCCTCTGAAAACGAGGCACCTCTGGGACAGCGTGTCTTTGGCTGTTCTGGCGTCAGGACAGCGGTTCCAAGTTGCAGAGAAAACGTTACGTGCTCCAGTACAACACACATGCACACTGAGTTAGGGAGGAAAGCTATTTCTGTGGGAAAATTCGTGGCAAGATTCCTGATGGCTGTAGCACAGTCAGGATTTCAATCCAGAGTCGGCTGTACGGGGTGACTTGGGGCAAAGCCAGGTCCCCTCTCTGTGCAGCTGCTCCCACTCTTCTGTTTGTCTGTCCCTGATTTTGACAGTTCTCTGCAACAACGTCCTGCTGCATTCATACAGCACTTAGAAAAGGAAAATGCTGAGTTCAGCTGAAGTTCTCAGTTTATGCTGTTGAGGAAATCAGGGCCAAAGTCTCTGAAGCGAAAGGCTTTCTGAGCATGGAGATGAAGAACCAAGAAAACGATGACATAATAAAACAGGGAAACAGCAGCTGTTACATCACAGTTGCAAAAGAGGGGGGGATGCCTCTAGCACTGGGTATGGCAGAGCTCCATCCACTGCGCCCTCGTCACAAATCTGTGCATCACGCAGCCAGACCCGGCCTCAGTGTCTAAGCAGGGATCCCACGGCCCCGACACACAGTCCACACCCAAGCTGAGGAACTGAGAAATCCCAGGATTACAGGCGAGATAACAAAAGCAAGCAGAAGTATGTCATACCAGCCTTCCTGGTGAAGTGACGTTTCTGGGACTGCAATCTGCAAGAGATGACAGAACAGCACCATTTAGCCAACGGCTGTATTTCACGTAGCACCGCCCCGAACCTGCCCCAGCTGTTTCACAGCACTTGCGTGCGATAAAAGACTATGCTCAGGACAGACGTGGCCTTCTCAGAGGAAATGCCTCTTTCCTGCTTTTCTTAAAAAGCCCTGATGCTTGGCTGTGGTTCGGCTCTGGTTCCCTGGAACCACACCGCAGATGTTCCCTCGCTTTATCTACACCAGCCCCATCCCCTAGGCTGGAGGAGGAAATCGCTTTCAACAGCTCTGCTCCCAAGGGACTTAAGCTAGAGAAGCAGTAACTTTTTTCCTCAGAGACAGAGGCAGCCATACGGTACCTTCCAGTGGTGTCGGTGACGGGGTAGGAACAGGCGAAGGCGACTCTGCCAGCTGCTCCAGTGTGCTGCGCTTTTTCCCCTCCTTGGACTTGGCAATAACCATCTGGGCTTTGAGGGCATCCTGTTCAAGTGATTTCATCCTGCCTCGGGAGCCAGGGAGGGAGAAAAAGACGTCAGACATCATCCTCGGCGAGGGACAACGCCACCTCCCGCGCCCAGAGCCAGCCCGCAGCCGGCCGGCTGTGCACGGCACCCCGCGCTCCCCAGGCAGACAGAGTGTCGCAGCGGCCCAGGAGAGCAGCTTGGCTTGCTGGCACCCCGAGACACACGTGTCGCCACGCATGTTCGATGG